TTTTTTTTTTTTTTTTGTGAACATCCATCATAAATTGGCTAGTTTTACGCTGACTGTCAGCCTGCCACAACCCTCCGCCCTCCTTTATCCGGGCTTGAGACTGGCAATGTAAGCAATTTGTGAGTGTTTGACTATGATGTTGTTCCATGCTGTGCAAGCTATACAATTTTTACAAACTATAATGTGATACTTTTGTGTAGTAAAAGAAATGCATACTCAAAGATTTTGGCTTTACCTCTTACAGCAGGAAGGGTGCCACTGATTTAAAGGTTGAGGCAAGATGGTAGAGGACAAAATAGATAACAATGAGGTAGATCAATGGGGAGAAATCCCTATGGTATTACAACAGAAGAGTATGGAATATTCAATTAAAAGCAAGAGTACATTGCGAGCTCGTTATTCCTATGGCATTATATTCTTGATAACAAATCTTATAGCTTGGTTCGTACGTGATTATGGAGAAAGGGCTCTTCCTCTGCTTCATTGTAAGTCAAAATTCTTTTTTGTTAACTACAATTAGGAGATTCTCTAGAAGAAATACGGGATTCTGGTGTCCCGCCTATGGGGTCAAATCAATACGTTCTAAGAAGAAAGATTGGAATATCAATCTCATCGAGATCATCGATATTATACCAAATCCGTGCGATTTGAAGGACAGGATCCGTTGTGGATTTTCTAGCGGCAACATTTCCTTCTTGCATATGGCTTAAAATTTTGCTTTCTCTACAACTGTTTTTCAATGCTTTCACAAAATATGCCACTCGAAACTATATGATATATTTCCCATACTCATCTTGTTAGCTAAATTACCATTTAACTTCTTCTAGTAACTCTAACATGGACTCTGATTCCTGTTTCCTCCTTTTTATGCAGATTCAAAAGCATGTGGAATTGGTGGAAGTGAATGTTCTCATACAATGGGGGTTCTTCGTGTGAGTTTAGGTTGCTTTGTATCCTTTCGTTTAAAAGTGACAATGACTTCTCTCCTTTGCTTAAACTCATAATAATATGCCTCTGCTGATTGCTCGGATTGGTATATCTTCAATTTGATTTAAAACATTTTTCAGAAAGTCTTTTAATACTTATATATGATTTAATAGTAAAGAAGTTCCAGAATGGAGAATGTGTTTCTGTATAAATATGTGAAAATTTGAAACATTTCCTTCTGTTCTTTAATGGTACTTTTTAGTTTGACAGAGTTCTTTTGTTCTTGCATCCTTGACATACATTGTTAGATTTTCTTTTTAGTAATGTTTCTTACAACATGTTTCACAAGCAAATTGTGTGAAGTTCGCAACGCATGGCACTCTGGATGGTGGATTTTGAAGTTTGTTATGCTGATAATTTTTATGGTGATTCCATTTTTTATCCCCTCGGATTACATCCAGTTATATGGTAAGTCTCTTGAGGATAAATGCAATAAGAAAATCCCAAAGTGAATGCTTACGTTTTCTGATCACAGCATTTCATTTTAGCTTCATGCAAAATTTTCCATTATAAGTTCAACTTTCATATTATTAATTTTTCTCTATAGAATGTCCGTTTATATTTATCCACTCATTATATACCAAATGTAAACGGAAATTGCTCTTTTTCTTGCAGGTGAATTCGCTCGAGTTGGTGCAGGGTAATATTCACGTCCATCGTTTTTATTTCTCTTCTAACATAGATAGTCAATAACTAGATTATTGCCACCTTATATCCAGCTTTTAAATATCAAAACATTACACATAGCTAGTTGCAGTCCATGAAGCAAGTGTACGACTGAAATTTTCCTAAGTCGAGGCGTTTGGTTAATTGGTTTATCAATAAAAGAGCAACAAAAAATTTCCTTCCTATCAGAGCTTGAACTAGATAGTTGAATGTGACAACTACTACAAGGGTAAAAAATAGTGGCACAAAGTTTTCAAACTTCCTTATATGTAAATAACACTGATAATATTCTTATATTCGGTTTGGAGCTGCAGTGACCATAATAATTTAAAGTTCAATACTGGTTTTTGTTATGTACTTGCAGGGTTTTTCTCGTCCTCCAGCTGATAAGCGTGATCGAGTTCATTACATGGTGGAATAACTACTGGATGCCTGATGAAAGAAAGAAACAAAGGTGTGGTTATCATTTTCAGCCTTATTTATTTCTCTAGAGCAAGTGCACCTGTTATGCTTTAATATGAAAAACATTAAAAAAAGGATCATTTGGAACTCTTGATGATGTATACCCTTGCTAGTTGCTACAGTGTGTTTCTGAGATTCTGGTTTCTAAGACCATTTAACTCATCTATGGTCGTTTCTATCAATTTTTGCGAGTGGAACTATTAAATAGTATAAAAAGTATGTCTAATCATCTCGAGGCCTTACTCTTTAATATGGTGTACTTACATTACATCATTTTTTGTGATAGCAGCTGCTCTCTTGGTTTATTCATGTCGACAATATGTTACATCGCGTCCATTTGTGGAATTTTGGTGATGTATGTGCTTTATGCCTCCAAAACATCATGCAGTTTGAACATATTCTTCATCTCCTGGACTGCAATTTTGCTGGTAGTAATGATGGCTGTATCCTTACACTCTAAGGTATGCTTTTATAGTAACAAATTAGTTTGCATTGAAAATGACTTCATGTGTTACTAATACTTGTTTTTCTTTTTCACAGGTTAATAGGGGACTCTTATCTTCAGGGATTATGGCTTCTTATGTTGTCTTTCTCTGTTGGAGTGCTATTCGAAGGTCAGAAATGCTGTGCTTAGAATGTAAATTTTAGACATGTCCACCTCTTACTGTTAAATCAATGAACAAAATATAATACTTTTGCCAGGGGCATTTGAGTTCCTAACTTCCTTATTCGTTCGAATAATTTTGAGATATGCTCAAGTGTTTGATGATTGATCATCTATAACTAAAGCATATTTGATAATACGAGCGAGTGCATGATTAAAACGATAACTTACAATTCGTGCCCCTTAATAGGGTAGCTTTTTGGTTGTCACTTATGCGATGAAGCCTATTTTGATTACACTTTGTTTTCAGCGAGCCTGCCACCCTAAAATGCAGCCCTCAGCAGCAAAACAGTGGGAATGGTGGTTGGACTACTGTAATTGTAAGCGTCTTTTCTTCTTTTGCTTACTTCTAGTCATGCTTATCAAACTTCTTGATCTAACTTTATGCAAGTTAATATCATCAACTTCAGTAGCTTGCTAGTAATACTTAGCAGTGACCAAGCAATTTTAAGAGGATATCAAATGCAGGCATACTTTTTGTTCCTTAAGTCTGCTATAGCTTTGTTCATGAAATGGATCTTTAAATCTCGTCCACAGACCTTCGATATTTCTGCAGAATGCTATCACCGCCAACAGTCAATAGATAGAAAAAGGCTAGCATGAATGCTGAAATTTCTGAATGAGAACTGAAGCTAGATATATATAGTTGCCGATTAGAATATCCACTGGAATGTAGGAAGGAATGAGCCTTATCCGTTGTAGTAAGTATATGTGACACTATAAATGTTTGATTGCCATGAAACACTATATATAAACCTTTGAAAACCAAGAGAACATATTGTAACAATTGCAGACATTCATAATCATATATTTTAGCTTCATGACGACATAATCTACTCAACGAATCAGTACCTGTTGGCAAAGAAGAATCCACTACACTACATAATTGGTAGACCTCCTATTCAAGATTAAGTCATGTATTTGAGGCTATTAATGCTTGCACAAACATACATCATATTCGCATTTCTCATTGAGAACAGAAATAAGGTGTTGAATCAGCTCTATATCTCTTATAACACATGTTTGACTAGTTCATTATTATTCTTTTCCTTGTTAATTATAGGGTTTCTTGATTGGTATATGCGCCATCGTCATGGCAACATTCTCAACTGGCATTGATTCACAAACATTTCAGGTAGCTTATACCCCTTTAGATATCCTTTTATACCCAATGTGGAACTCTATATAACTCAAGACTAGGCTGCAAAAGCCAATGTAATTTGATTGACTCAGATAGATAAAAAACTGAAGCAACTTCAAAAATTGAAAATAGAATCATTAGCCCCTAACAGTTGAAGAGAATGCGCAAAATCCCAAATTATCTGATAGTGTGTTTTCTTCTTTTTTGCTGAGACATGACTACATGCTTTTGCTTGTGTTATAGTTTCGCAAGGATAAAGTTCAATCGGAAGATGACATTCCCTATAAATATGGATTCTTTCATCTAGTGTTCTCCTTAGGAGCAATGTATTTTGCTATGCTATTCATCAGTTGGAATCTAGATGGCTTGCCTAGAAAGTAAGTATATTAATATTCTCCCACCAATACATATTATTGAACTTGTGCTAGCAACATTACTTTGATTCATTTTCTTGTTTTAACAGATGGAGTATTGATGTTGGCTGGGCTAGTACTTGGGTTAAGATAGTCAATGAGTGGTTTGCTGCTACAATCTATTGTAAGTTTATGTATCCTCTTCTCATTTTTGAAGGGTCCGGTGCACTAAGCTCCCAATATGCACGGGGTCCAGGGAAGGGCGGGATCACACACCCTGTATTTCTGCAAGAGGCTGTTTCTACGGCTCGAACCCGTGACCTCCTGGTCACGTGGCAGCAACTTACCAGTTACGCCAAGGCTCCCCTAAAATGATGTTTCCATAAGATTCTGAGAAACCATATATTTTCCTATCCATTTGAAAAGAAAAAAGAATGACAAACTTGCTATGCTTTCAAGTTTTGGAAGTCTGTTACAAATGTGCCCTGTGGAGAAAACTAGGGGTAATTTCAAGGATGGACATCTAATTTTCGGTTTATTGCACCAAATTCAAAGAGCTATATATTGCAGAAATTAAAAAATGCCTAATGCTAAGTCCGGTCCCAAAAACGCAAGTATGCTGTCACATGTATAAGATAGCCACATCAGCAACTCACTCTACATAATATCTACGTGGCACCACGTCGATATTATAAGGTGAGTTGTTGAAGTGGTAGCATACTAGTGTTTTCAGGACAGAATTTAGCATATTCTTGCATTTCTTTTTATGTGATATGTATGCATGGTTGAGTTATTTTTCGTTACAAGATTAGTTTAATAACTTTGGTGCAAAAATGAAAGTTGGATTACCATACGTGAAATTAACCCGAAAATAGTATGTGCAATTCATGCATCTCTAACATTTTTCAACTCTCTTGAATGTAGTGTGGAAATTGATATTGCCAGCAGTAAGACAGACCAAAGTGATGGATCATGAAGAGCCAAAACAGGAAATGGACAACTCAACTTCAGTGTGATTTTTACTGCTGGATAAGTCTGTTGTAGCCAAAAGGTGGTAAAATGGGTAAAATGAGCAACCAATGGATGACAAAATTTACATGAGTTCAATGGTTGATAAGTGGGTAATAAATGGTTATTTCGTGTTACAAATAAATTTACAGAGCCAATTATCACCCTTCATTTACCCATTTTACCACTTATTATGTATCATGTGTCTCTCTTCTTTTAAATGTATTTTTATCTCTCTATTCTTTTCTTCATTGTTCTAAGGTGGTCCTGTCTAAAATTTAAGCTAGTTGTCTTGAGAACAACAACAACAATAACGAGAAGTTGGGGGTCGGGCCGGTCGGTTATATAAATTCTCAATATTCATGTCGTTTCGTTTAAAAATGTCTTTATCCAATAAAATAAATAAATAAAAAATTAGTTTCACTAAAACTAGCTAGGAGGTCTCTACATTCTCTATTAGCATATAAAATTTTAATAAGAGTTCAAGATTCTTAAAATACACGTACTAGCATGCAGTGGCGTAATCACATACAGTGAAGGGTAGTCAATTGAACACCTTTCATCAAAAAATTATACTGCATATGTAAATCAAAGTTTACTTTTTATATACATATATTAAATCTTGAACACCCTTAGTGAAATTTCTGGCTTCGCCACTGCTAGCATGACTAAAACTTAATCTCGACTAATTCGCATTGCATGCCATTTCAAAGTTAGATCACCATATAGTTATTGTTGGTAGGACAATGGTCAAATTTTGTTAGAGATGGACAGAAGACAAGAACATGGAAAGTTCATGACCTTAATTGAGAAATTATACTCATTTTAACTATACCGCTTATAGAATTTTATTCAGTTCACTGACAATCAAACATGATTTAAGTTGGATCAACTTAAGTGCAATGATAGTTGGTGGAGTCAATTGATGTTTATTATATATATACTCATGAGTTATGACTGATTAAATCAAAAATTATTTTAAGAAATCCATAGTTAAAGAAAAAAAAAGTTTGTATATATATATATATTTAAGAAGTACCAAAGTGACAACTAAGATGGAGTAGGTTTACAAGTTGGCTACTATATATCATTGTGTTGGATTAATTTCACCTTTCCATTGAGATATGTACATAAATCAAATTAAAAACTATAAGGACTAATTAACATGTATTACATAATGAAAAATTAACGAATTTCAGGATAAAGAGAGATACGACCACCAAAACTTACAGTCTAGTGGTATCAGTGGAAGTCTCTCACACAATAGATGTATGTTTAATTCTTGATCTCCCTTTTCCTCCTCCTTACTTAATCTCTAATATAATAGAAAAAAATAAGGTTGTTTTTTTTTTCAAAAGAAGAGATGTGACCCCTTGTAAAATATTTTTATTATTGCAAACACTGTCCAGATAATGTTATTATTGGCTTGACCTTCCTGTTAGTACATAAAGTATTATGAAAATTTTGTAAGGTTCTGTTGTACTTGCCACACTAAGTAAACTCCAACAACACCATTCTTGAGTCTCACAACAAATCCACCTATTTCCATACAATCACATCTCTATATAAAGAACCAACCTTATGTTCATTTCCATATTCAACCAAATAAAACATCTCAATCCAAAACCAACAAGAATACAAAAAAAAAAAAAAAAAAA